ACACAAGATGGCTGCCCCCATGTGGTCAAAGATCCTGCCCCCATGTGGACACAAGATAGTTGACCCCACAGGATGGCCAGCAGGGGAGGGCAGTTGGGAGGCACCAGGCCTGTAAGGGAGGGCAGTTGAGAGGGACTAGGCCTGCAAGGAAGGGCAGTTGGAGGTGATCAACCCTGCAGGGGAGGTCAGTTAGCGGTGACCAGGCCAGTAGAGGATGGAAGTTGGGGGCAAACAGGCTGGCAGGGGAGCAGTTAGACATCAGTCAGGCTGGCATGGGAGTGGTTAGGAGGTGACCAGGCTGGCAGACAGAAGCAGTTAGGGGCAATCAGGAAGGCATGGAAGCGAGCAGTTTGGAGCCAGCAGTCCTGGATTGTGAGAGGGATGTCCAACATCTCTCGAGGGGTCCCAGATTGGAGAGGGTGCAGGCTGGGCCGAGGGACACCCCCCCTTCCGGCCCCGTGCACAAATTTTGTGCACCGAGCCTCTTGTATAGGATAAAAGGAACTGCTATAAAGAGGTTTTTAGTGGTGGTGAGGTGGGGGGGAGGGGAAGTGCTTTATCTATACTAATCAAAGGGCAATAAGCTAATGAGACTGGGAGACCAGACATCTTCTGACCATCTGACTTCCTTCCAGACAAAACCATGGTGGTAGGGGCTAAGGCAGAGGCGGTTAGGGGCGATCTGGCCAGTTAGGGGCGATCAGGCCAGCAGGGGAGGGCAGTTGAGGGTCATGAGGCCGACGAGGAAGGGCAGTTGGGGGCCATCAGGCTGGCAGGGGGAGTGGTTAGGCTATTAAGCCAGTAGAGAGGCAAGCGGTTAAGAGACAGTGGTCCTGGATTGCAAGACCTGTGGGATTGGGCCTAAACCCGAGATCGGACATCCCCTGAGGGGTCCTGGATTGGACAGGGTGCAGGCCGGGCTGAGTTCCCCCCACCTCCTGGTGCACATATTTTGTACATTGGGTCTCCTAATAGCCCTGTAATCAGGTCCAGTCTTAGTTAGCATGTGCCTCTAGACTAGGGGTGTCGAACTCAATCAGAGAAGGGGCCAAAATCTAAAATCCAGCCTAAGTCGTGGGCCGAATGGTTTACTGAACAGTCATAAACTGTCATTGTGATGGAAATGCAGCGGAGTGCAGTGATGACAGCGCAGTGCGGGCCACATTGCAAGGCCTGGCTGGACGGATTTGGCCCGAGGGCCTTGTGTTTGACACATGTGCTCTAGACTGTGAACTCACAAGTATTTCGGTTTTATCCGTCCCCCATAGGTGGCACAGAATGGCTCGTGTGGGTCAGAGTTGGGTATCTCCCTTCCCCAGGTCAGTTAGGCTCTGGTCATCTCCCAGCAGGTTAGGCTGTGGCTGACTAATCTCTCCTCAGGGCAGACCTTGTTAAGAAGAGCAGAGTGCTCTGGGTTTTTCAAGATTTTCTCTCCCCCCTGGTAGAAGCACAAGGGGACTTCTCCGATATTTATTGTGGGAACCTGTTTGGGGCTCCTGGAGGTAAAAATCACAAAAATGTGAGAGACCCCTACAACTGGGTCCCCTGGAGTTTCTAACTCTCAGGCTTGTCCACATACATGTAACCTCCAGCACTTGGTCAATCCCAGTGGATTTAAGAATTGTTGATTTTCCAGTTTGTTAGGAATCAGTAATGATTTCTAAGCTCCTTACATGCAGAACCAGAAACTGTCCGTTTTGCTATTGGTGGAGTGGAAATTGGTAAAGCATTTATTAAAGCAGTCATAATCTTCTACTAAAACTTCAGCTTCGCATGCCCCTTGTCTTAGCATTTCCACGTTCGGACATACTAGTATGAGGAACAAAAATATAAGTACCAGAATATTTTTTGGCAGCAGTATTTTCAATATGGGAATGAAATATGATACTAGTATATTTACACAATAAAATGCTATCCAGTAACTAAAGAGAAATAATGTAGCTCAGTATATCCTGACATGGAAAGAAGTCCAAGACATATTTTGAAGTGAAAGGAAAAAAAAGGAAGTTTCATAATGTTATGTTTAAGATTCAATTTTTGTTTAAAACTTAGTCACAGTAAAAATTAAGGCATGCTTAGGAAAGAAAATTTTGGGGGAACACATATCAGAAAAAACTATTGGTTGTCTTTAAGAACAAATGTTATAAGAAGGATGTTAACAAATTAATGACATTTGTGTTTTCTATGGTGCATATGTATTTTAAAATTAGGTAAAAATTCAAGAAAGAAAATGGTTGGGGATTGATAGAGCTAATTGAGAACAATGGAACAGAACTAATTATTCCTACATCAAGGCACAAGTGCAATAATAATCTCTTGACTCTAAATTTTTATTTAGAGTCAGAATTCTGTAATATTTTCCTACTTCAAGGCACAAGTGCAATAATAATCTCTGATCTAAATTTTAATTTATCTTCTGAGAATAGGTAATGATAGGCCGAAATAAATAGGAATTTTAAATCTGTGTTTCTTTTGTTCTTTAGAAGCAGCCATAGATGACAAGGGTTCCAAACAGAAGTGTCTTACCAGTGAATGTTTACATGTAGAATTTTTTATTGTTAATCTTTTTAGCAAAATTTTCATCAAGAAAAATTTCCCCCTCTGCTGAAAAGCAGTTTCTTTGGTTCTGTGTGTCAAGATTAGTGGTTTGTTGTACCCAAGAGATGTTTATAAGGAATTTTGACATGTATCTCTCCCTTTAAAAAGCTGCCTGGCCAGTGTGGCTAGGTTGGTTGGGTGTTGTCCTGTGCACCAAAGGGCTGCCAGTTCAATTCCTAGTTGGGGCACATACCTGGGTTACAAGTTCAACTTCCAGTGGGGGACATGCAGGAGGCAGCTGGGATTGATGTTTCTCTCTCACATCCAAGTTTTTCTCTCTCCCTCTCCCTTGCTCTCTCTAAAAATCAATAAAAAGTATTTTTAAAAGATCAATTTAAAAAGCTGACTAAGAATTAGATTAGTGGAGCAGCGATAACTGTGAAAACTGTTTGACTTCTGTTACAAAGTACTAGAGGCCTGGTACATGAAAATTCATGCACTGGAGGGGGGGTCCCTCAACCTAGCCTGCCCCCTCTCACAGTCCAGGAGCCCTCAAGGGTGGGAGGCAACACTCCCTTCACACCTCTGCTGCTGCCACTGCCAACAGGACAAGCCTTGGCTGGCCCTGGTTACCTGAGCTTCAGGTGGCCCTGGGTGGCTGGGCAGCCACCACCTGAGGCTTATCTGTGCCTCAGACTGGCCCTGGGCAGCTGGGGGGACGAGGGGACTGGGGGACTTGGGAGGCAGGCGCCCCTGCGGGGCTGAGTGACTGGGCACTGCAATCTTGTGGCTGTGAGCACTGCCATATTTGAGGGTGTGGCAGTCAGTTAGCATATTCCCTCCTTATTGGCTGTGGATGCTGCCATTTTGTGAGGGCATGACGGTCAATCAGCATATTCCCTCTTTATTAGATAGGATAGTTTAGGTCTACAGTTTTCCCGCTGGAATGACAACTGAGCATTCTGCAGGATGAATGAGTGTAGACTTCTGAATTACTTGTCCTGTTAACTTTCTAGTCTGACTTGTTTTCATTTTCTACTTAAATGCTATTTTGGGTTCCTGGACCCAATCCCAGCATGTGTGTAGTTGGGGAGAATCCCACACAACAAGCAATTCTCAGATACCAGCAGAGTATCCAAGAATTCAGCTCAATTCTGACGCTGTCTACTCAAAGGCAGCCTCGGATCCCACAGGTTAAGGTAGGGGTGTCGAACTCAATCAGAGAAGGGGCCAAAATCTAAAATCCAGCCTAAATCGCGGGCCGAATGGTTTACTGAACAGTCATAAACTGTCATTGTGATGGAAACGCAGCGGAGTGCAGTGATGACAGCACGGTGCGGGCCACATTGCAAGGCCTGGCGGGACGGATTTGGCCCGCGGGCCTTGTGTTTGACACATGTGGGTTAAGGGATCAGTCCTACAAGACTGCCCCCTCTTAGCCCACACTTTCAGACACAAGTACCATGTCCAGATTTTTACATGTATTTTTGACCAAAGATTCCCAAGACCCCGTCTTTGAGTTTGATAAATTTTCTAGAGTGGCTCATACAACTTTGAAATATTTTACTTACCAGATCACTAATTTTATAAAAGAACTAGAGGCCCCATGCATGAAATTTGTGCAAGAGTAGGTCCTGCTTCTCCCGACTGCTGGTACCGGCTTCCCTCTGGCACCCAGGACCCAGCTTCCCTCGTAGCCCCGGTTTTGTCTGGAAAGTGATCTGGAAGGACATCCGGTCTAATTAGCATATTATGCTTCTATTACTATAGATATAACTCACAACATCCAGATGGAAGAGATGCATAGAGTAAGGCCTGGGGAAAGGTATAGAGCTTCCATTTTCTCTCCAAGCACACCATTCTCCCAGAATCTCCACCAACCTGGAAGCTCTCTAAACCCCGTCCCTAAGGGTTTTTATGAAGGTTTCATTACATAGGCATGACCATTAAATCATCAGCTATTCTCTTGCCCCTCTGTCATCCCCGGAGATTGGGAATTGGCACTGAAAGTTCCATTCACATGAGTAACTCTATTAGCAACCAGCCCTTACTTAGGTGCTTTCCAAAAGTCACCTCATTAACATAAGAGGCATCTTTAAGCGCTCATCACCTAGAAAGTCCCAAGGGTTTTAGGACTGTTGGCCAGAAACCATCAACAAAAACCAAATATATATGACCAAATATATATATACATATATATATATAGGCTGTCCCAAAAATGAATATACACTTCAAATGATATAAAGTTAGTGTTTATTAACTGAAAAGGAGTGAAAATTAAGTGAGTTATCTGCTGTTAAAGTGCGTATGTGTTTCTATGTGTACACTTATTTATTTATTATAAATCACAATATCATACATCCTAACATAGTTTTTCCCTATATATTTTCCATATATTGTTTTAAATGATTGATTTTATATAATGATTGCTATTGTTTTATTCTCTGTGAATTTCCAAACAGAAGTTCCAGAGGGGACTTGGGGGCCAAAAAGAAAAAGAAGAAACAGAAGAGAAAAAAGGAGAAACCAAATTCTGGAGGCACCAAGTCAGACTCTGCATCTGATTCCCAAGAGATTAAGATTCAACAGCCTTCAAAAGTGAGAGCCCTGTTTTATTTTAATCTGTGTGGTTCCTCATGCATTTGAAAGCATGTCTGTGTAGCTGTTGGATCAGAGATGTAGTGAGGGTTTTGTGACTACTGTGACAGTAGCCAGTGGGTTCTTATAGCCTTGTTAAATCTGACGTCTGCAGCCAGATAACAGAGAGGGACATTTTGTGCTTTTGTGTGTACTAGGATACCGCCTGCATATTTCTCAGCAAATTAGTATATAGATTATAATCATAGAACAAAGTCTCAGCTGTGTTTTTTTAAAGTTACACTTAATATTTGATAACTATTAGTACAGAAGATATTCACATTTTAATTTTTCTGGGTGTCTGTCTAATTATCTGAATAGCACAACATCATCTGGCAGCAGATTTCAGCGGGAGCAGCCACGGGTAAGTCTTATGTTGACTTTGAATCAGAACAGTCTTCAGTGGCCACTCTTAATTTCATTGCCACGGGTGGGAAATAGTGCCTAATGTTTTCCCTGAAGAAGCACCCTTTTAAACCAAACCAGAAGTTATCTGCCTGGGCACTGTGCCAGCAGATTGGTACATCTGGTGGTGCATATGGCAGGCACCCTTTCTGGAGGGCCAGCCCCAGTCACCCTAGCTATGAATACAGGCTTTGTGTGCTGGGCCCAGCGAAACACAGAGCCTTCTTGATGCAAGAAATTCTGCAAAAAGAGGTAGAATTAGAAGTATAATGAAATAGTTATTTGATGCAGGAAGTGTGTGTCATGGGAGGGACTCAGGAGGTGCCATGGGAACCTGGGTTCCATCCTGACCCATAGCTCTCAAGCTTGGCCTTTGCACAGAGTTCTGCCCCTCCTTAAGCCCATTTCCTCATCTGCAAAATGGGTATGATGCCTTCTCCCCAACTCACAGGGTTGTTATGAAGTTATTAGATTAAAGGCCTGGTGCACAGAATTTGTGCATGGTGGGGGGGAAAGGGGGGTGTCCCTTAGCCTAGCCTGCAACCTTTCCAATCTGGGACCTCTCGAGGGATGTCAACTCCCCATTTAGGCTGGATCCTGGGGAGTCAGACATCCCTCTCACAGTCCAGGACTGCTGGCTCCCAACCGCTCTCCTTCCTGCCTGATTGCCCCTAACTGCTTCTGCCTGCCAGCCTGATCACCCCCTAACCACTCCCCTGCCAGCCTAATTGATGCCTAACTGCTCCCCTGCTGGCCTGGTCACCCCTAATTGTCCTCCCTTGCCAGCCTGGTCACCCCTAATTGCCCTCCCCTGCCGGCCATCTTGTGTCCATATGGGGGCGGCCATGTTGTGTGTTGGAGTGATGGTCAATTTGCATATCACTCTTTTATTATATAGGATCCTTTTTATTAAATGGTATTTATATAATAAAGCACTTTGTCTACCTGGCACTTATAAACCACTATGCAAGTTTTGTGAGGTTAAAATTTTTATTCTTTTACAAGTTTGTTTGCATTATATCGTGTGAAGTGAATCTTGCAGGTAGTTTTGTTGTTGCCTGTTTTACACTTAAGGACCAGGAATCACTGAGAAGGAAAATTACTTGCCCCAATTTTCCCCTGATTGCCTTTGTGGGGTGAGAAGAAAATGGAGTCTTCCTCCCTAGCTTTTCACCTTGGTTCTCAGGTAATAAATATTCTATCCACCGGACATAATTTCCAAGGTAACTCATGTAAGGTACACCATAAGCTTGCAAGATTTTTCCCCCCACATAAACATGTTGTCACATATATGCAGTTGTGACCATGTCCTTATTGCTTCTGTCATCACCATCAGCTTCTCATCTCTGAAACCTATGATTTTGAGCCCTCCTCCTGTTTCTGGTCACTCATAAGAAACTAGAACCAGCCAAGGCTGGAGGAACTGTTAGCATTATATGGTAGAGAAATTCTTTTCTCTTTAAAACTAAGAATAAGTTAAAATAGTTTAAATGTGGGCTATTCTTCATAGCATTTTTTAGAAGTTAGACTCATTTCTTTTAAGCTGACGTCAGCTCTAGATAACACCATAAATTGCAGTGGATCCTGCTTAAAGAATATTCTGATGTACACTCAAGAACCAGAATGAAATATTGGTCTGGGTTCTTGTAGATTTTCAAAGTATTAAATTTGGAAAATAACAGATGAAGAGAACAGTTGATATGCTTATATCACAGGAGGAGATAAGGAGGAAAAGACGCCTGCCTGACTCTTTCTTAGGAATATTTAATGGGAAGCTAATGCCGGTTGGTATACATTATCACGTTTCCTAACACTAATTCATTCCTCGCCAGGTGGTACTGAAGGTGGATAGGTTAAGAATTTACCATAGCTGAGTTTTCCTTACTGCTTTGTCACCATGGATTTGAAAATTGTGCTTGCTTTAATCTACTTTCAGAAAGAATTTAAATAAATCACATATTATTGGGATATAAATTAATCCCAATGGAATGTAAATTCATAAATGGTGATTTCATGTAAACACTACTGGTCAACTCATTGAGGGTAATTAGGTGGGGTAGAAAGCACATTAAGAGTGCCTCTTAATGGAGTTGAGATATCCTTGGCTCCTTTGGCACAAAGATGCTGACTCATGTTTGTTATAAAATAGTTGCAATTTGCAATGCTAGTATTAGGGGATTTAACTCGCATCAGGGAGGAAGAACTACCATGGCAAGTTCAGGGAAGACATTAGCGGTCTATTCTGAAAGAGTGGGTTCTACTCTGCCTTTTTAAAGATAAATGGGTGCATGTACAAGCACTATTAGCTCACGTGCTATGCTCTTAGTTCCTGTTTGAGGCATAGATCTCCCAACAGGCCGTGCTGATGGGGGTCCATTTAACTGTAGATTTCACTTTGCTAGAAACCAGTTACTTTATGTTGGAGGTTCCAAAGAGATGCAAATGAGAAATTAAGACACGCACTAGCCTTTTTACAACAGCAAAAGTATTTTGTTAAATTAGTATGTGTAATTGAGATGTGCCCCTTATGATTTAGACTTTAACCAAAATATAAGAACTTACAAAAGTCGTGGCAGTCCTGGCTGATGCTGTTAAACTTATAAGGGAAGGTGTTAAGACTATAACCTACCTATCTCTGGTTAGACTCTAGCACTTTGTTTCCTTGATTCATTTTAGTGGCAAGAATCTTAAGGGAATCCAGTGAGTAAAGCAACACAGGACGGTCTGTATTAAATAAACCCCATTTTGTACCTGGTCAAACAAGTAAGCGTCCAGGTTAGAAGATTTGCTTCAGACCACACACATGAGGGTAAAAGTTGAGCAGAAGTCTCTGTTTATACACTATTGAGGGCCAGTGGTCCCTTTCCTTGGTGTCCATGGTGTGTTGACATACAGGCAGCCTCAGGACTCAGACCCACTTCTGAACTGCAGGGAAGAGCTAGCATTCTGTGGATGGCCTCAAAAGCATATGGCAAACCCATATCCATATTCAGTCCTACACACTATTCATTCTCTAATTCTCGAGAATAGTTTCATTTTGCAGGTAGTATGACATTAGTAGAGGGATTTTCCAAAAAAAAACAAAACAAAAAAAAAAAGGAGCTGGGGAATCTTTAACGAAATATTGGCTTTGAGGAAGGAGCTTTAGAATTTGAAGGTATTGTCAGCTTTATAGTCTGAAAATATGTTTTACTTTATAAAAAGGAGTTTAGTTTCAAACAGGCTAGAATGGCCCCTGATTTGAATTCCTAGAGGACACGGCTGGTTCTTGTTGGAAGGTTTGTTTCTAGAGGTGTGTCAGGGTGAAGAGAGGGAGGTGTGGTCCAGGAGGAAGGCATCCCTAGAGGTTTCCTTTCCTGATTCACTTTTTTCCCAGCTCGTACTAAGTTCAGATTTTGTTCTTTCTTCTTCTTAATGAACTTGTCTGCCTACTTTCCATCCTGGAAGTTATTTCCTTTGTGCCCACATCACTACTGCAGAGCATTAACCCTGACAATGAAAGCAAGGCTAGTGGCTGGCTGGCTGCTGAATGACAGTAATGCATGTGTTGCATGTCACCCCTTTTTGCTGCTGCGTTCAGATGAGTAATGGTCGAGACCATTTGCAGATGGGTGGGAAACTAGAGTGAAGGGTAGTTCTACTTACTGTAGATTTCCCAAACTATCAAGCCCCAGTAAAGCTATAGTGGCTGTCTTTAACATAATATTGCTTAAATTTTAATGTGTTAGCATACATGAGCCCAAGGCCCTGACAAGGTTTAGAGGAAGACTACTCATTTTTCGGTGGTGTAGTCACCGAGGCAGATGCAAGTGTCTCTGCCCCAGGTATTAGAGCTGTGGCAGCGACCTCACAGTCTGTGTCTGTCTGTCTTTGCTGTTGCAGAACCCTGCCATCCCAATGCAGAAGCTGCAGGACATCCAGAGAGCAATGGAGCTGTTGTCGGCGTGCCAGGGCCCCACCAGGAACATCGGTGAGGCTGCCAAACACAGATACCAGTTTTGGGACACACAGCCAGTACCCAAACTAAGTAAGCTTCCTGCTTTTCTCCTCCGCCCTCCCCAGAACAAAGCTGGTTAACAACAATCAGAAAACACAAAAGAAGCTTTATTTTACTTATATAACTTGTTTCATACCACAGGTTAGAAATTTATACAAAAGTAATACTTCTTAAAGTTAATATCCATCACCACACACGGTTACAGAATGGTTTTTGTAATGAGAACTTTTAAGATTTATTCTCTTAGCAAACTTTCAAATATGTAATATGTTATGAATTATAGGCTATACATTAAAGGACTTATTTATCTTATAACTGAAAGTTGGTTCCTTTTGACCCCCTTTACCCACTTCTCCACCCTCCATCTCCTGCTTCTGACAACCACCAATCTCTTTTCTGTATCCATGAGTTTGTTTTGGTTTTCTATACTTTTTAAAATTTAATTTTATTGTTTAAAGTATTACATATAGTAGTGCATATATCTTCTTTTTCCCCTCATTGACCTTCCTCCAGCCTTCCCTATCCCCTGTCATCCCCCCTCCCAGTGTCTTGTGTCCATTGATTGTGCTTATATGCATGCATACAAGTCCTTCCATTTTCCTGTTTTCTTAGATTCTACATATAAGTGAGATTATATGGTAATTTGTCTTTCTCTGTCTGACTTTTTTCACTTAGCATAATACCTTCAAGGTCCATCCATGTTGTCCAAATGGCATGATTTCTTTTTTTTATGGTTGAATTATATTTAGCAGATATTTGTTGCGTGTTTGTTATTAAATGTCAGGCACTGGGTACTTAGTGGCGTGAAAGTAGGGTAAGTGGTACCCAAGTAGGGGTTGGGGGGAGGATATGCTCCAGGTGGGAAAAAGCTTTAGTCAGGGAAGGATGCTGTGAGAAAGCTATGTGTAAACTTAATATCTGAAAGAATTTTTTAAGTGGCCAGCCGAGTAAAGAGTATGGCAAGGACCTTGCAAAGGCTCTGAGCTGGGGGCAGCATGAGGGCAGGCAGTGTCGCTAAGGCTGGGAGCTGGGCCAGGTGGGAGTCCCAGGGTGGCCAGGCAGGCAGTGACATGGTTGGAGTCTGGGTTTTATCCCAGCCACACTGGGAAGCTACAGGGAAGAAATTGGAAAAGGGCACCTTTGTGGAAATTGCTAAGACGTTGATGACTTGAACTGCATTGCCAGCGATCCAGGTGGAGAGACATTAAATTATGATAATTTTAGATTTTGCTGGAAGTGGTCAGTAGTCTCTGCAGCCTTCTCCCCTCACTCTGTTCCTCTTCCCCTCTCCCCCAGTTACTTGACGTGCAGAATAAAAGTCTGTCATCAAACCTCTGTTATCGCCCATGGTGCTGTACAATTAATCTGTAATTTTTTTAATATGTTTTTATTGATTTTTTTGCAGAGAGGAAGAGAGTTAGAAACATCGATGAGAGAGAATCATCGATCAGCTGCCTCCTGCACACCCCTACTTCACACCCGAACTAGAATCGAACCCAGGACCTTTCAGTCTGCAAGCCGACACACTATCCACTGAGCCAAACTGGTTTTGGCAAGGGACTTTTTCTTTTGGTGGTGAAACAGCTGTTATTCTCCACCACTACCTAGCCACCCCTTTTCACTCTAGAGTAGCTGAAATAATAGTCCATTAATAATTATATTAGCCCAAGGGCCCTAAATATGATTTAGCACTCTGGACTCTGATTTTGTTTTATGTAACGGATCATTTTGGATCATCAGAATGCTTTGTAACTGAATATTCTCTCTTTTTGTCTTCTATCCTCTCCTCTTCAGATGAAGTGATAACATCTCATGGTGCAATCGAAGCAGATAAAGACAATGTGCGTCAAGAACCGTACTCCTTGCCACAGGGCTTTATGTGGGACACTTTAGATTTGGGTAATGCTGAAGTGGTGAGTAAAGCTCTTAAATTCAGCACTTGTGTTCATTCAGATTGCTTCTGGGTGGGTTCCGAGCACCATAAACCCACACCTGTTTGGTCTTGCAGCTCAAGGAGTTATACACTTTGTTAAATGAGAATTACGTGGAGGACGATGACAACATGTTCCGGTTTGACTATTCGCCTGAGTTCCTGCTGTGGTGAGTCTTGCTGGTCTCCCTGGCTGTGGTGGGGCGGTGGGCTGGCGGTCTCTGTCCACCCCTGTATTCTTGGACACTCACTGGCGCCTGTTTTCCTTGCCTACGTTGACTTCAGGGCTCTGCGTCCCCCTGGCTGGCTTCTTCAGTGGCACTGTGGAGTCAGAGTGTCTTCGAACAAAAAACTGGTAGGGTTCATAAGTGCCATCCCAGCAAACATTCGGATTTATGACAGGTACATATGAAAGCTTGCCCATGTCAGTTTTGATGTGTTGCTTTTTCAAGGATTGCAATTATAAGAGACTTTTAAAAGTGACTTAATCCAGGCTATTGATAGAGGTGGAGGTTATGTGTATATGGGGGGAGGGGGGGGAGAGGCAGGAGTATGTGGGAACTCTGCACATTCTGCTCAGTTTTGGACTTAAAACTGCTCTAGAAAATAAAATCTATTAATCTTTTTAAACATTAGTCTGTGAACAACAAAAAGGACAACTCTTCTTTTTCTCCCTCTGCCGCTCAGTCTCATACATGCACACACACAGATATGTTTTGTGTACATATATGAATATACATGTCCATGTGTATATTTATGTAGTGGAATAAATAAAGCTATAAATAGGTATTTTAGTTTTATTTCTGGGGAAATTCCTTTAGAAAGTTATAGGAGAGGTTTTTTAAAGTTTCTTTAATAGGATAAGTGTGTATTGCATTTATGCTCTGGGTCTTTAGTGAAGAAAGTCAAAGACTCAACTCTAGAAAGTAAAAAATCTAGTGCATAATAGATGGTTTTACCTTTCAATACAATGGGTTGTTTATTGCTAAAAAACATTTGCTCCCAAGGAATACTGTGTGCTGAATGAAATGCCTGCATACCTGCATACCCGGGAACGGGCTTTGAAGCTCTAGAAGGTTTAGTGTAGCACCTTTTAGGGTCCTGGGGATTGCATTATATCCAGAGCAACATCTTATCAGATTCTGCGTGTGGTGACCAGTGATGCCATAATTGTACACATTACAGGAAAAACACATAGAGAAACTTTGAGGCACCTCAGGTCCAGTTTCTAAACCAAGAACTTATAAAAGACCAAAGTTCTAAAATGTATTTAGAATAAGAGGTTTGCATTTCTGTAGTCTAGAGTTATAAAGTAGGGGCATATGGGAAATAGTATATGGACCTGAATTTGTGAAATGTCTAGAGGAAAGAATATATTTCTTTAATATTATATATACGGAGGTCTTTCAGTTTTTATTCTTTGAAATTTTATGGGTGTTGTCTTATTTAAAAAAAAAAAAAACGTTCATCTTATGTTTGCTCTGATTTTCTTTATTTCTTAGTGTGAAGAAGATGGTCGAAATCAACTTTCTTTGTGTTCATAAAAAATTGAGATCAAAACGGGTAGCCCCAGTGTTAATTCGAGAAATAACTAGGAGGGTGAATCTGGAAGGGATTTTTCAGGCCGTTTATACTGCTGGTGTGGTTCTTCCGAAGCCAGTGGCCACTTGCAGGTAATACCCTTACCTTGCATCTTACCTGTACCTAAGCATTGAGCCTTCCCACCCTGTTGCTAGAAGTGTTATTCTCACTTGGGGTGAGTTTATAGCTCAGGGATTTTGGCTAACCCATGATTTTGTACTTGGTTGATAGCAGAAGTGGAAATTGAAAGCAAGAACCACTTAAATCCAGTCTTCTTTCTAATTACCATACTGCTACTTGTATGCCAGTGATCTGGAGCTGCATTTCAGGGTCTCTTCTATTTGAAAGACTGGAAGGTCTGGTATGGTTGAGGCACCTCTCATGGGTCCTGGGATTGCATTTATATACAGAACAACATCTTATTAGATTCTGCATGTGGGTGACCCAGTTATGCCATTATGTGTTTTCTCTATGTGTTTTTCCTGTAATTTTATACATTACAGGAAAAACACATAGAGAAACCCCGGGCATCGTGATGTGGAAATATCCAGGGTACACTTCCTTTTCTCCTCTAACACTCAGTCTTACACCATGCTCTGCAGTGCTATTCCAAATGTCTGATAAAAAAGCCTATGACTCAGTCTGCTCTTACCAAGCTTTCAGAGGTTAATCCAGGGAAAAAACTGAGTGATGGATTGTTACTTGACTAACCTGTTTCTGAAATACAGTATCTCTTCCCTCCACTATTTTCATTTATTCAAATAAAATAAAACTTCAGGTAAACATAAAAAAGTAAGCCATAAAATTACTTTGTCCTATGAAATTATTCATAAGTAAATAGGATAAATAAGACTTCACAGGTGCATATTGGGGCTCTTGTGGCACAATCAGGTAGTGCTTGGTACTTATAGATATACTAGAGGCCTGGTGCACAAAATTCATGCTTGAGGCGAGGGGTTATCCCTCAGCCCAGCCTGCACCCTCTCCAATCTGGAACCCTCAAGGGATGTCTGACTGCCCATCTGACATTGGACATCCCTCTCACAATCCAGGACTGCTGGCTCCCAACTGCTTGCCTGCCAGCCTGATCACCCCCTAACCACTCCCCTGTCAGCCTGATTGATGTCTAACTGCTCCCCTGCCAGCCTATTTGCTCCCAACTTCCCTCCTCTGCCAGCCTGGTCACCCCTAACTGCCCTCCCCTGAAGGCTTGATTGCCCCCAACTGCCCTCCCTTGCAGGCCTGGTGCCTCCCAACTGCCCTCTCCTGTTGGCCATCTTGTGTCCACATGAGGGCAGGATCGTTGACCACAGGGGGGCAGCCATCTTGTGTGTTGGAGTGATGGTCAATCTGCATATTACTCTTTTTATTAGATAGGATGTTAATACAAATCAGCCCAATACCTAAACTGGGATCACGTAAGAAGTTCAAGCTAGTTTCTCGAAAAGTTGTTTTCTTGTCCTGGTTGGTGTGGCTCAATTGGTTGGGTTTTGTCCTGTGCAAAGGTCGCCAGTTTGATTCCTAGATGGAGCACATGCCCAGGTTGCAGGTTTGGTCCCCCATCAGCGTGTGTGTGGGAGACAACTGATCAGTGCTTCTCTCTGTTACCCTCCCTCTTCTTCCCTCTCTGAAACCAACTTTTAAAAAAAAGGGGAAAAAAAAGTTGTTTTATTGGTTGTTAGATAAATATGAAGGCTCTACTAATTTAGGGCGAATATTTTCAAGTTTTTAAACTTTTGGGTTGCTTTCTATAGAATCAGGGATGGTTATGAAATACTTACAAACTAGTCATTTAAAAAAAATGTATTTTATTGATTTTTTACAGAGAGGAAGGGAGAGGGATAGAGCGTTAGAAACATCGCTGAGAGAGAAACATCGATCAGCTGCCTCCTGCACACACTCCCTCCCCCGCTCTGGGTATGTGCCTGAAACCAAGGTACGTGCCCTTGACCGGAATCGAACTGGGACCCTTCAGTCTGCAGGCTGACACTCTATCCGTTGAGCCAAACCAGCCAGGGCCAAACTGGTCATTATTAATAAGACTGTTACAATTTTAAGATACCTCTATAGTGAAAGAGATGAAAGCTCACAAACTACAGAGGAACATAACTAGGGATGCAGGACATACTGTGGAGGTAAAAAATGAGTGATAAAATAATTGCATTGGAAGAGGGACCGCATCCAGCATTGTGCCAGGCATAACATAAGTATTCATTAAAATGTTCTACCACAGCTGAGCTAGACAGAGTAAAAATTCGGAGAGTAAGAAATCAGTCCGACTTTCAAACTTTATTGTATTCCAGATACTGGCATCGATCACTAAACCCCAGAAAATTGGTAGAAGTGAAATTTTCTCACTTGAGTAGAAATATGACTTTACAGAGAACAATGAAGTTGTACAGACTTCCAGATGTAAGTAAAATCAATTTGCAGTTTTTTAAGATTGTAACGACTAAAACATTCAATGTAGAAAGGAATTGCAGGGGTCTAAAAAACTGACTTATGTATCTGAAGATATGAATAGGTAGCTAAAAGGTCTGCATAGAATTCAGGGGCAAGCAAAAATAAGGGAGTTCATTTGGAAATACCAATTTTTTTTTTTTAAGTCTAAGTTATTCAGTTTTTGGTTGGATGGAATTAAACTCAAGGCATACGTTTTTAAATTTTGAGTATTTATGGTTTGTTAATAAAAGGGAAGAAAAGTTTCAGGCTTCTGATGAAATCTTAACGTAATAGAACTAAGGTATAAGGTTAAAAGGAGAGATCTGGGGGAGGAAATAATGTCTTATAAATAAATTATCATCTTTTTAAACTAGCAAATTCCCAAAATGAAAAATTGTCTGTATTTGTTCTTATTTAAACTTTTTGTTTTAATTTCATCCATCCCCTCAACACTCTTTCCTTTGGGAAACATCAGCTTATTTCTATATCTAAACTGTTTTGTTTAATTTACTCATTTGTTATTGGCTTTCTTTTTAGATTTCACATATAAGTGAAATCGTACGGTATTTGTCTTTCTCTAACTATTCCACTTATCATAATACTTTCTAGATCCATCCATGTTGTTGCAAATCGCAATATTTCATTCTTTTTTATTGCTGAGTAATATTCTGTAAAAATTTAAATGTTTGCCATCTTGGCTTGGATGGTGTATTAGTTATCTCTTGCTGTGTAACAAATGACTATAAATGTAGCAGCTTAAAACAATACACTTACTGTCTCCCAGTTCTGTGGGTCAGGAATGAAGGCACAGCTAGCTGAGGCCTCTGCTTCAGGGTCTCTCATTAAGCTGCCACCAAGGTGTCAGCCAGGTCTCATCTGGAAACCTGCAGGGATGGATCCATGTCCACACTCACATGGCTGTTGTCAGGCTTGAGTTCCTTACAGGCAGCTGGACGAGGGCTCGGTTCCTTGCTGACTGTCCACCCTAGCCGCCATCCGTTCTTTGCCGCCTGGGATTCTCCCCACGAGGACTTACAACATGGCAGCTTGTTCATCCAAACCAGTGAGGAGAGCGTCCATAGAGACTCTCCTAGCAAATGCACATTAGAACCTTACTCTCAATTCACAAAAGTGACATCCAGTCACCATCACCACGTCTCATTGGTTAGACACCAGTCACAGGTCCACCCATACTTGAGAGGAATGGATCCCAAGGGTGTGAGTACCAGAAGGCCATCTAGAATCTCTCTGCCACAGAGGGGGTCTTTTGTTTGAAGTTTGATTTCTTCAGAGTTACTCTGTTTTGGGGGTATTTACAAAGCAATTTAGTTGATATTTTAACTTGGTTGAGGGAGTCATGTAGAATATAGTCATGTTCCTCTAGAACTGTGGCCACTCTGGGTGTAGCACACTCCAGTTCTTTTTGCCTTTTGGCCAGTTGTGTTTGCCAAATGCACATCATCAGTGGCTGCAGAATTGATGTCTTTTTTCTGATAATAGATTAGAATTACCTAATGTCTGATTTTAGGCAGAATTTATTTATTATTATTATTTTTAAAATATATTTTATTGATTTTTTACAGAGAGGAAGAGAGAGGAATAGAGAGCTAGAAACATCGATGAGAGAGGATCATCGATCAGTTGCCTCTTGCACACCCCCTCCTGGGGATGTGCCCACAACCAAGGCACATGCCCTTGACCAGAATCGAACCTGGGACCTTTCAGTCCACAGACTGAATCTCTACCACTGAGCCAAACCGGTTTCGGCTGATTTTAGGCAGAATTTAATTAGGAGAGAAGTGGAGGTGAAGGAAAGCAGGTGTTAGAAGTGTCAGGGTCTGCCAAAACCAGTTTGGCTCAGTGGTAGAGCGTCGGTCTGTGGACTGAAAGGTCCCAGGTTCAATTCCGGTCAAGGGCATGTACCCGAGTTGTGGGCACATCCCCAGTAGGGGGTGTGCAAGAGGCAGCTGGTCAATGTTTCTTTCTCATCGACGTTTCTAGCTCTCTATATCTCTCCCTTCCTCTCTGTAAAAAATCAATAAAATATATTTAAAAAAAAAAAAGTGCCAGGGTCATCATTCTTGGGTTTCACGACCTGGCAGTGGGATCAGAAGCATGTTCTTCTCTGTGTCTTAGCTGTTGTTACGGAAGTGGAGCTTGAACTAATGAGCTCACTGCCTCTCTGAGAGGGCTAGCAGGGAGGGGCAGTGTAGATCAGAGCAGATGGAAATAAAAAACGCAGTGACATGAAGAAGGAGGGCGCACACAACCTGGGGAGGAAGGAGCAGGCCTCTCAAGCTACGGGGCAAAAAGGAAATGAAGAAATAGGAAGATGTTCAGAGAAGTCACACTGTTATCATGACAATCAATATTTACTGATTCTTTTGAAACAAGAAACAGTTTATGGAAATGGCCAAGACCCAGAGCAACTGAGGGGCACGGTCACAGGGGCACAGATGGCAGTGAGAAAAAAGAGCACCACACCCAGCTGAGATGAAACACGCCTTCTGTAGTCATGTTCATTCTCAACATCCCCCTTGCCAGTTGTTTACTGCTTTGCTACCTGTGAGTTGAATTTAAAACTTGAAGCATGCCTGTTTTTCTCACTAGAGGCTAATGCTCTTCTACTTTGGTTTCCCCAGATTTCAGCTTGTTGATTAAGGCACTCTAGTTTGTATCTACGGAAAGCAGCCACTTACATGTAGGTTGCCCAAAATGGAATGAAGAATAAGGAGTTTTAGTACCTATCATGGGCTTATTCAGGATGATTAGAATTTGAGCTGCTAACAGTGTTTTGACTTGACTTTGTCCATTAGCCTTTATATTTTTGAACAAGAATCAATCAACACAGATAATAGTTGGTAAAAGTCACTGTTAGGAATTGGTTTTTATTTCCCCAATAAACTAAAGTTTATAAAGGGTTCTCACATATGTTATTCAGTATACTAGAGGCCCAGTGAATGAAATTCGTGCACTGCAGAAGGGTGTCCCTCATAGCCCAGGACCCCTCAGGGATGTCCACCTGCCAGCTTAGGCCTGCAGTCAGACATCCCTCTCGCAGTCCGGGACCCCTCACTCCTTACCACCTGCCTGCAGCAGAGGCAGGCGGGAGAGGCTCTTGCCAGCTGTGAGCCAGGCTTCTGGCTGAGTGGTGCTCCCCTTGTGGTGCACTGACCACCAGGGGGCAGCTCCTACATTGAGCGTCTACCCCCACCCCACCCCACCCCCATGGTCAGTGTGAGTTCCACTGTTTGGTTGATTTGTATATTGGGGTTTTATTATATAGGATAGGATTCTTACAAAAACCTTTTGAAGTTGGTACTTCTTATTCCCATTTTACAGATGAAAAGACTGAGGCTTGTGAAGTTTGACACTTAGGGCATGTCATTAATAAGTGGTGGTTTTGGGATGCAGGCCCCAGACTTCCATTTTTTTTGCCTGTTAGATCTCTTTGCTTCTGCCATTAACTCTAACACACCTCTTGGGGGGCATCATTGCTCAGTCCTACCAAATGTCTCTCTGTATAGACTAGGGGTGTCGAACTCAATCAGAGAAGGGGCCAAAATCTAAAATCCAGCCTAAATCGCGGGCCGAATGGTTTATTGAACAGTCATAAACTGTCATTGTGATGGAAATGCAGCAGAGTGCAGTGATGACAGCGCGGTGCGGGCCACATTGCAAGGCCTGGCGGGACGGATTTGGCCCGCGGGCCTTGTGTTTGACACATGTGGTATAGACATTAGAGCAGGCGTCTTCAAACTACGGCCCGCGGGCCACATGCGGCCCGCAGAGGAGTCTGATCCGGCCCGCCAGGTTTTTTGGGCAGTGAGCGCAGCCGAGGTGTTACAGTAGGAATTAGTAGTTCATATAGTCCGGCCCTCCAGCTCTCTGAGGGACCGTGATCTGGCCCCCACTTTAAAAAGTTTGAGGACCCCTGCATTAGAGTGTAGGTTAAGAAAGGAAAGGATGATTGTCCAGGTCCAAAAAGTTCTCATTGGCACGTTCCAATCATAGAGAAGGGAAGAAAGATAAAGAGTACATAAATGAGAGAAAAAAAAGAGGGGGTAGAAGAGATGAAAGTATAGAATTTGGAAAATTGGAAGGTGCCAACTGCAGTCTCTTGAGTTAGAAGCTGGACAATGCAGCATACACCAGACCTCCTCCCTCATGGGCTCAGATGGATGCTGCCTCCGCTAGCAAGCATGTCATTTAAGAATAGGTTTGTATTATTAAGCCTAAAGAGAACAACTTCGTTGAATGCAACTTTTGCTCTGTGAATGTCTTATTTTCTGATTCATTATTACTGTTTCTGCTTATGATGCTGCTTTATGTCTTTTCGTAGACTTCTGAATACAAGTTAACATTCATTGTGGCCAGCATCATGCTAGACATTGCGCTTCTGTAGACTCATTTATTTATTTAGAACAATCATAGGCGGGCAGATCCCTTTCCCTGTTTTGTAAAAGAGGACATGGAAATACTAGACTCGTTTGCCCAGTTTAAAGTTAGGACAGAACTACCCAGGAGCCCATGCCATTAACTACTGCTAACTCAAATACTAAAGTTTTTCCAAGAGTAATGCATTTCTCTACCCTTTAAATGCTGGTTTGTTTTTAATTTGTTGTTGAGCATTTCCAAACAAAGTTGTATTCTTTTTGTTAGATTATTTAAAAACAGGTAAAGAACGGGATTCAGATTAATCTCCCAGCTTTCTGCTGTGTTGCAAGGACACGCTTGTGAAGACATGTGAAGACACGCAAGATATTCTAGATTTAGTAGCAGTAGACAATTTTTTTTTAATGTTTAGTGTTCTACTGCTCCTTTTTTTAATCAAATAAATAACCATAATCACTGCTTACATCTCCACTCTGGAATCTTGCCTCTAAAACAGACATGCCTCATAGTTTGACATACAACACTGCTTCTGTTTTTTGACAGACTCTGAGCTTTATTTCCTTATGCTCTTGTAA